AGCAGACCATCAAATCTATATCAAATCTATATGATGATTTAGTCATGTCATAAGCCACCCATAACTATCTACAACTAGATGTCTACAACATCCATACTAAAACATATAATTTAATGAGCAACCAACATTACTTTTAGCTAGACTATGCTATTATCATTTAGACCATAAAGTTACCAACAAACTCATGATCAACACGATAAAAGAAATGACTCGACATAGCAATGGGATGAAATGTTTTCATGAATAATCAAGGCTAAAGAATCTCCATATAAACATTCAAATCACAATGTTTGCCTGTCTCCTCGGGACATGTTAGACGGATTGTACGTGTTTCGGGCCTGCCTACACTAATGCAGTCGATCCATTTAATTGGGATGTTCAGGGGGATACTTTTGTTGACATGGAGGGAGACATCTCAATATTTCGAATAAGTTACAAAATTGTCTCTTCTGTTATCACTTACAATGCTAATTCTACTAATGTTGATGTTGAGTACGCTTTTCTTCTTGCCATGGAGGGAGTAATAACTACTACTATGGAGAGACGGAACTACCAATCGCAGGACGAGCGAGGCTTCTCTATTTCTCATTACATGAGCGAATAGGAAGGAAATTCCCCCTGTGATGCTGAAGACGAAGATCAAGAAGATAGAATGAAATATACCAATTAATGAATTAAATGTATTTTGTCCCATATCCATTAGAAGAAAAAAAATTCCATTCATTAAAATTCATTAGAAGATATATAATTAATTATTTTTATTGGATTAGAAATTAAAGAGAACATCATACCCTTTCGAAGTTCGTTACTTGATACAAACTTTTGATTGTGTTGTTCATTTTTGTATTACAGAAACATTACTAAAGTAGAATATTTAAGTTAACTAAAACTACATATATAAGCTTAACTAACTTAGAATATTTTTCACTCCTGATAGAAAGATAAAGGTTTAAAACACAAGTTAAATAATATCCATATATGTTGTTAATCATGATAAAAGAGAGGTAAAGGGAAAAGAAATACAGTGGAAACGAGATGTATCTCTTTCCTTTTTAACTCTTTGAATCACCTGCAGTGCAACGAGAATCACAGATTCAAGAGTCTCATGACACAACTACTAAACCATTTTTGCAAGCAGTCGAAACATGGTTCTAACGAACTAAAATTCTACGATACTCTCGAGACTTATTTTTTTACTTAAAAGAGAAAAGAAAAGGGAGATTGCTATTTTTTGAGCTTTCAGAGTGATTAGAATGAGAGGCGAAAGGTTGATATAATAAGCAATTAAACTATTAAAGCGACTAAAATGTTAGTACTTGATAATAATACATCTTTTTAAACAAGATCTAATAACCGTTACAAAATCTATATGACCGTTTAAACAAGAAATAACGGTCAACGAGCAGGAGGAGAAGAGAAGAAGATGACAAGGAAATAAACGATAAAACCAGCTACAAGAATTCCTCCGTACACCAACGTTTGGTAAGACTTTACTCCAACTGTGTATTTGTAATCGATCTTACAACATCTCATGTTCTCCCTTTCTGTTTCCAGTACATGCTCTACATACCTGCAACAAACCAATTTGTTTCGGTGTGTGTTACATTGTGAATCTAAACCAAAAATCGAAAAAAATAAGAGACTTACTGTTGTGTAAACATTGTGGTCTGAAGAATCTCTGAGCTGTTGAGATGAGCGTCGTATAGTCTGTGGTCGTATAGCAACGAAGAGAGATCCACAAGTTGTTCTTCTACGGTCTGTTGTTATAATAAAGAGCATAAGAAGTAAGAACCAAAGAACCATCTGGTGAGAAATCGTAGAGAGTCGACAGGTTTATTTATATACTTACGTCTAGATATTTCTCTAGTCTTTCGACTAGCTCGTGCGGGAAAGGCTCAGGCAATGTGGTTGTTTTCTTGTAGAATTTCTCCACCCAAAGCTCGGTTTTCGTTTTGTTCTTTTTATCTTTCACTGGCTCGCCAAGTGGAGTCTTGAGGTATTCAGATGCAAAGTTTTGTACTGACTTCTCAT